GGGTCTTGACTTTTTGGATTTCTCTTCTCTAAATAACACTCTTAAAATTAATTGGTTAAAGTTTTGTCTAAATAAACCTTCTTTCTGGAATTTTATTCCCAATTTTACTTTTGACCAACTTGGAGGTCTTTCCTTTTTGTTATTATGCGATTATAAAATTGAGAAATTACCAGTGAAGCTCTCTGCTTTTCATGCTCAAGCCTTGTTGGCGTGGAAACTGATCTACAAGCACAATTTTTCACCACAACGTTATTTTATTTGGAACAATAGATGTATTTTGTATAAATGCAAGAGTATGTTTTTGGAGAGGTGGTTTGAAAAGGGTATTGTTTTAGTTTGTCAATTGTTTAACACTCAAGGGTATCTTATGACATATGACGAGTTTCTTGTACATTTTAACTTTCCTGTAACTCCCAAGGAATTTTCTCTTGTTTTCTCTGCAATTAATTCTAATATTGTTTCCTTATTTAAAGGTGTAACTTGGATTCATCAGCCCATAATCAATCTAGTTGATACAGTGTGTGGTAAAATTTGTTTCTCACAGTCTAAAAATAACAAATCTATTCGCTCTCTATTTGTAAATCAAGTTGTATCTAAACCTTGCTCTATTACCTATTGGAATAATTTTGTAAGAATTCCTAAATGGGAAAGTATTTGGTCATTGCTTCACAAATTTTTGGTTACAAATAAGATAAACGAAATATCTTTTAAACTAATTCATAAATTCTATCCGGTTAAACATTTCCTAAGTAAATTTAAAAAGGATATTGATATAAATTGCTCTTTTTGTTCTTTGCATTCGGAAGCTGTACCCCACCTTTTCTGGCACTTTGGTTATGTTAAAAAGCTCTGGTATGATGCTCCTGTTTTTATAAAGAAAAGGGTACTCTTTAACTTTAATTTGCATTATGAAACTGTAATTTTTGGGTATTTTAATTATGATAATTTGAATAATGAAGCTTTTGTTATTAACCTATTTATTTTGCTAATTAAGTTTCATATTCATAAGTGTAAATTTTTCCAACAAAAAAACTTGTTTTACTGTGTTTTATAAGGAACTGAAAAATTACTTTTGCACTATTCAGCATAGTGCTAATCGAAAGGCCATTAAAACTGTCCAACTGTGCTCTAGTTTCAATATCTTTGATTAATGTAAAGGTCCTGCTTGTTGGGGGGTTGTTGCGCGCGTACTGAAGAGTGGTGTTCTGATCAGCTGTGTTGTCGCGCGCGTACTCAAGAGCGGTGTTGTCGCGCGCCTACTGAAGAGCGGGACCGAGGGACTAAAGACTAAAAAGGGCATGTGCACTCCACAGGTTGAGCCCTATGTGTGCACGTGCCTGTATCAGGGATTATTCATTGCAGTCTTCTTGTTTTGTTTTAATTCATTGATGCAAATTAGGTCTGTAAATCATTTTTCATTATTCTGTAAACATTAAATGAGATCTGAATCACTAAACAAAAGAGTTTTTGAATTAGAAACACTCAATAATATGAATCAGCCTTTCAGTTCAAGCCTGCTGCAGTCGCTCTTCTTCTTGGAAAGGTCAGTGCTGATCCTTGTTCTGCAGATTCTGACGTTTTAATTCTGCTTGTGGTGTTTTATTTATTTGTATATGGGTGTAGGGTCCACCCAGTTGGTCCAATGACGGTATCCAATGGTGGATGAAGGTTTACTGCATGTTCGGTCTTTCCAGTGCACAATATTGATTTATATTAAACTTAACTCATATCTGACTCCAATTTTAGTATGAGGTGGTTTAGAATATTAATATATTTATCCTCGTTTTATCTGACTCCAATTATAAAACATTGATAAGATTATTTTGTTTCCTTTCACAATATTTTAGATTATGATTGAATATTCTTTTGATTTGTTATTATACCTTATTCTCATTTACTCAGATTCCTATAGCATCTCGAGTCTTGCACCGGCCGGGTATACAATCTCTTAATACAAGCTCGTCAGTCTTGGTCATTAAACAGAGGCGATTAACCACTCTCCTAAAGTGGCAGAACCCTATACTTACTCAATTTAGGAGATTTTTTATGTGGTCCCCATAGATCTGTTATCTACTTAATCAAGACAAAGTATTTTAATAATAATCGCACAGGATTATAAGTTTGTAGATGAAGGCCTAAATACCCACATTTAGATTAGTTTCAACAATATTTTGTTGTTCTAAATAGAAAACTCATAGTTGGCCTTTTACAGTCTAAGTATACTTGAATTAATGCCAATATGTTAGTCGGATCTCTAGCAACATTGTATAGCGTGCCACACTGCTCCGTCTAACATGTTTTAGTCCGTTACTAACCTGTACAGTGGCTTGTAGTGCTATGGACAACAACATTTATCAGTGATAATAACACGAGGACTGTTTGAATAATTCAAAACATAACAATTTATTAGTCAGGTAAATGTGTATTATGCCAATTCAATCAGTCAATTCATAAAAGATCAATAAATACATCAAGTTACCAAAGATAAATCCAAGATTAAAAGATGCATTCCTGACTTTAAAATATACATAACATGGAGCATAAGCTCCATGTTACGGGCTGATCGGGGTAAGCAGAATCGCGCTGAGCCTTTCTCAAACCTTACCTTAAGTAATCCAAGAATTCCCTCAAGGACAGGGGTGTGTGCATAACAAAAGGCACTTGCATTTAGTGCTGCCTGTGGAAAAGTCACACCCTTCACAGTGGTTCAAAAGATGCCTGAAGTTATATATTTATTGTTTTGATTATGCCTATTTCTGAGAGAATGAGACCATTGTACCAATCGCACTGAGACATTTCAAATGATATCAAACATGATAGATAAAGTCACTTAGGTTAATCTGAAACATTCAAACATTGAAATGACCATATGTGTGAGTTGGGGTGGTTGAAGCCGAGTTTCAGCAGACTCAGATGCAAATGCAGCAGGAATTGTTTTTTCCCGCATTCCCACCTGCTGGGTTGTGGTCAACAGTCTCTGTTTTCAGCTCATGTTTTGAATTGTCAAAGACATCAAAAATATTTGTAATATTTCAATTCTTACATGGGCTTATTTTTGTGATGAAGAAACCCACAGTAATGATAATAAACGAGTGGATTGTGACAGATCCACAGATGCTTTCAGATTTGTGCTCATCATCTATAAGATTTATCCTTTCTCTTTTTTATTACAGGTTTTTACAATTGTTTTGCCACAAATTTCAGAACTTTGGTGTCAATTTTCAAAAGTCTAGACACAAAATTCACAACCTTTGCCAAAATTGTACATTTTTGCAAAACTTTTAACTCTTTTTTCAAATGCTTGGATACAACACACACAAGTCAAACATACTTTATTCATTGAACTAAGATCACCTTTTCAATATAACAGAATTAAACTTCAAATTGATCCCATTTCAAAATGTAACTCAAACATTACATTTGAAATAACCATGTATTCATTTACTTCACATGATGTTATTATCAACTGATACAAGCACTCCAAATGATGAATAACTGCTGCATTATTGTTGATGTGGGGAAACTGATGTACAATATTACATGTTTAGATGATGAAATAATCAGGATAGATCAAATGACATCAGTTACCACAGAAGATGACCCAACTGAACTACATTATCTATAGATGTCATCTTTATTTATCCTTAGTCCATATTTATGGTTTCTTTGTTCTGTGTACCACTTTTACAGACAATGTTTATATATTTGACATTACTGTAAGAAAGCCCAGTCACAGCAGACCAATGTCAGGCCTGGATTTACATTGACAGAAGGTTCTTTCCAAGATTTCTGAGTAATGAAAACACCACTGAAATGTAGAGGAGAACCCGTGACCAAATTCACAAGACCAGACTGATGGTAACACAAAATCCCAAAATAGAAATCTGATATATAGAAATATATGCAAATTACATATGTGACATAATAGTTCATATGAATTTTACATATATAAAATATGTTATACATGTCAAAATATTGCCATTTGTTAAAATATTAGAATTACAAATATGTACATATATGTTACGTATATATATATGATCCATTATGTTATATATTTTACCCCTAAAAATATATATATATATATGATATGGTTGAAAAAAATATAAACAATGATTTTTTTCACTATTTTGACAAATTATTGACTATTATGACATTTTATAATAATGTAATTTGCAGATGGGACCATATATCATGTCATTTATCAGCTTTCTATATGGGGACGTGAAGTGAAAGAAAAAAAACAGTAAACCAACATTATGATGGAATGAATAAAACTAGTTCAGTATATCCACTTTCTGCACTGTTTCCCTTTACACTTATAGACCGTAATGAAACCTGTATCATATATTTTAAACAACAATATTTAATGATTGTTAATGATTGTTTATTGAAGCGATGTACATCTTGTGTGCTGCTGGTGATCTAAAGTAGTGTTCCTGTAGTATTTGTATTATAAAAGGATTATGTGAATCAATGATCCTGCAAATGCAAGACTTCTTTAAGGGAATGAATGCTGTATGCAGAACACTGGAGAGTGTTAAAAGTAGTGACTGTTTAGGATTTTGTATCTAGAGTTTTTTTAATTGACATCAGGGTTCTGAAATTTGTGGCAAAACAATTGGAAAAAAAACTGTAACACATAATGAAGATCAAGGGCAAACAAATAAATGATGAGCTTAGAGAGTTTTAATTCATTTTAACATACAGAGATAACCATTTGTAGAAAATACATTTAAAGGTGTTTTTAAAAAGTGTTAAATTACTTTAAAACGGAAAAACAAATCGACAATAGGTGGCAGCAAGAGACCTCTTTAATCGAGTGAAGCTTTAAGGGATTCATTCAGCCACGAATCACTGATTCAGTGACTCGCCCGACTCTATACAGAGTCCTGAACCATTCGTGTAAGGAAACGCCACTGTGTATTATTCAGAGATGGCTAACTGTTCTGCTGTTTATTTTATTATTATCATAGTAATGATTTCACTATTATTAATGAGAAAATAACGCGGAAGTTTTTAGCGTCTCGTCACGTGATCGTCAACATCCATGGCAACGGTTCTTTTTGTGTTGTTTTGAACTTCGCTCATTGGCATCTGATCTCGGCGTCCTTCGTGGCAACTGATTCCCAGATTATTGATATTATTGATTGTTGGATACATCGATTGATCGTCTGCTTCTCCCATCATTCAGGTTTGACCCTTGTTATCACACTCTGGTTTGTGTTCAGTATGTCTTGTGTTCATTACAGGTTTCAGAGTCGACTCACCTACGACTCGCTCCAGTTTGAGGGCCTCAACATCACTGTGGGAGAGCTGAAGCGGCAGATCATGAGGCGCGAGAGGCTGAAGTTCTGCCAGCTGAAGATCAGCAAAGCCCAAACTGATGAAGGTGAGATGAGGAAAAGCCACTTAAACTATACTACACTAACATTAGATGTGTTATCAGACAGACTTGTAGAAGCTGACATGTGTTATCATGACTCTGATGGTGACATATAGTGATGTTTTGAGTGTTTTAAAATGCTAATGGCACTCAAAGTATACTATGGTAAATGATTATTACTATATTCAAACTTTATTTTGCTGTCAGAATACACAGATGATGATGCTCTCATCCCCAAAAACACATCGGTCATCATCAGACGGGTCCCTGCTGCTGGACTGAAGTCATCAAACAGAAGATTTGTTGGGTAAGTCATGTGAAATGAGCGTAATCGTCCTCTGATAGATGTTATATCAAGAGTTTGAGTCTGTCTGTGGTGTTTTAGTCACACAAGCTCCTTTGTTTTGTTTTGCAGACATCAAGCTGGACCATCAGCTAAATCTTCTCAAACAGGTGATTCTTCACTCCTCTCACTGGAGCAGCTGTTGAAGGTATTGAACAAATGATTAATTCACCCCACTGTGCTGCTCTGTATTGAACTGCAGTGTTTGCATTTGAGGCGTCATAATGACATGTAGTGCAGAATATCAATACACAGTGTAAAACACACAAACGCACACACACACACACACACACACACACACACACACACACACACACACACAGCTTCTTAGGCAGACCAGTAAAATAAAATTCTAATGTGCAAATGCCTGTGAAACAGACTGAGAATCTGGCTGAGGCAAAGGCATCAGAGGAGGACAAGCTAAAAGCGGTGATGTACCAGTCCAGTCTGTGCTACTACTCCAGCAGGTGAGCGTTCAGACACTGACAGGTTTGGTTTGTGAGAAATGTTAGAGCTGATTCTCATGGTTCTGATGTTTATCAGTGAGGCCATGACACTGCTTGGGCTTCTTCCACCCAACTATGTCTGCTTTCACTGTGGGATCCCAGGACACCACATTAGGCACTGCCCCTCTAAAGGGGTAACTGGGTTTTCTAAGCTTATGGTTGCTGTGAACTTGAGCTCTTGTCTCCATCAGTCAGATTGTTTGCTCTGTCGTTTGACTGTCACTCATGAATTCACAGGGCAGCAGCTCTGCTCCGCACAAGCGCATCCGGAGGAGCACAGGGATTCCCCGCAGCTTCCTGTTGGAGGTGGACGACCCAAACCGAAAGGGAGTCATGATGGACGGCAGCGGCAAATACGTCATTCCCATCATAGACGCGTGAGTAAACTGTACTTGGCATTGCAGCATGTTTTAGTGTTTGTGAAAATCTCACATTATGTCTGCTTGTGTGTGTTTGCGCTCGATCTGTTCAGTGAGGCCTATGCTGCTGAGAAGAAAAAGAGGCCGTCCTTCTCCTGCCAGACCAAGCCGCTGTCCTCCTCTTCCTCAGCTGGTGCAGCATCTTCAGTCCAGGACGCCAGAGGGAAACGTTCCCGCTCCCCATCTCCACCAGAGACGCACGGAGACCAGAAGAGACCACGTCACTGAGAGACCTTCACCCAAGAGACCTGGAGCCGACGTGAGCACAGTGTATATATTGTACATAGTTTATGAATAAAACTGAATAAAGATTATAGCAGCATAAACTGTGGACTGGTTGACCTTCACACAATACAGAAGCACAAAAGAAAATGATCAACACATTAAGATAGAAATGATGAACAAACATGCTGCGGGAGAACCAGTGTGCTGTCCTGCTCACAATCTAAAACTTTTAGTTAAAGTTTATTTCAGAGGTGCTTCAGGGAAACTTTTTCTTATGAAAGGCCAAAAACTAAACTCGTCTGAGGGTGGTGGGCTGGAGGTAAATCTACCAAACTGTAAAATTGTCAATGTAATTTCCTAATTTATTATTATTATTCATTATATAATTTACATGATTCACTGAATACTGTAATTTACAACATTTCAAATTCTTTAATTGTATTAATAATTATACATTTTATAATGAATGAAAGTCTTACAATAAAACATGAACAATCCCATTTATAACACTTAAAATACACTTTGCCTTCGCTTGCTGATGTCTTCTGTAATGTCTGCTCTCCTTCAAGTGACTATTATTTTATTTGATTCATTCACAACATTTCATTGAAACGTTTAATTTCAGTTTGTTTATTTTTGTATCTCAACAGTTAAAAAACAAAAGTTATGTTGTATTAGAAATGACAATCTCTGTTAAAGACTTTCCCCCAAAACTCCCCATCATTCTCCCTCTCTTCTCAGATGGGATGGAGGGCCAAATCAAAGGTTACAGTGGATCCACTTTGGCCCACGGGCCCTAGTTTGGGCATCTCTGGTTTACACCGATGACATGCTCATCTAATCAATCCTGGCCAAACAAAATGTTGCAGCTCATCTGGTCTTCAATGATCCCAAGAGAGCCCACGTCACACCTCTCTTACCTCTCCAATTACACTGGCTGTCAGCTGAAGGTTCAAAACATCTCCACTTGCTACTTGCTACACTTGCCCCTCTGTCCAGAAGTGAGCACTGCCTCTTAGAACCATCCCATCTAGGATTTGGGGGTGTTTAACCCTTCTGTGCTGTTGGTGAAGTTTTGGTCCACTCTGGGCTGATTTTGAGGCTTAATTTACCAACAACTTTCTCTGTGGTTCAGCAAATAGGATGATTTTTGGTGACAAATCTTGTTGACACATATTTTGGGAAAATACTTTTAGAATTTTTTAAAAACTCAACAATACACTCTGAGCAAATTTACCACCCTTTCATTGTGTTCATGGCTGTTTTTGCCTAAATGATTTCCATTATTTTTAAATGCAACGTCATGACAGCGTATAATCATGCATTCTTGATTGTTGGTGGTTTTTCCTGTTGGGAAGAGGTAAGATTTGTGATTTTTACTGGTGATCATCAGTTACAGTTCAAAAAAGCTTGATTTCTTGCTTTTATTTGGTGTTTAGTGAGTGTGTGAGGTTGTAAGAGAGACTTTTACACACATATATTGAAATACAAAATAGGCACCTCAGCTGTCAGAACATAGTAAACATAGTAAGTGTACTTATGCATGCACTCTATAAATTGCAGTTTTACTCCACAGAACTCCATATAAAAGTCAGACACGCTTTTGCACGGGGCAATGTAAAGGATTTAATGGTGCCAACTGATGATCAACAGTAAAAATGAAATTTGACCTCTTCCTAAGTGGGAACCCACTAACCAGAGTTGCTGCTGGTCAAAAGGAGACCCTAAGATAATTTTTACAGCAGTGCTTCAGCAGAGAAACAAAAACACACAAACATATGTATTTAAACGTGTATTCATTTATTATATATAAAAATATGCATATAAACACTCAACATTAAATGTTTCATAAAATAACAGTTTACGTCAAACACTGACATGTCTTCTGCAGAAGGATTCCTAATTGCAAACATTTACAAAGGTTGTCATAAAACCCTGTCTGAAGCTGTAGAGATAGACGGTCCTCGGTGCTGCATGCTGTATCTGTAACGGTCAGCTGCTGGGCCCGGTTTTTCAAAAGGTTTAATCCGGATCAAATTGATCCAGATTTAGTAATTCTGTTTTTGCGATCTGTGATCACGTAATCCAGCTTACTTTTTGAGCCAGTTTTTCAAAGCAACATCGAATTGGATCAAACTGATCCGGATAGGAACTTTTCAGGATCACTAAATCTGGATTACCAGTGCTCAAACAGGATAAGAAATCACAATGTAGAACTATAGATATGTAAAGAGCGACAAGTAGAATAGCCAGCGTGGGGTCAATATAACTTTATTTTTTTTTAAAATGAAAACTAAGAAAATTGAATAAATATTAAATTAATAATAATAATAAATAATAAAAACAAGAAAAAGCCCACCCCATCCTCTTCCAGCAGTCCGCTCATCTGAGACCTACAACACAAACACCGTACATTGAGGATATTTATAATAAGTTTCAAATATAGATGTAAATAAAAAAAGACTTAATGTCAAAAACTCCACAATAATCTCAGACTTCCTCATCTGATGTGGAGAGAGCAGCTTGTCTGAGCGTAGCCATTAGGAGGCGGATCTCATGTCCTTGGCCTTGGTTTGCTGCAGTTTGGTCAGAGTCAGTTGTTCCTCTGTCAGACGAAGCTGTGCTTCTGCCCTTTCAGTCTCTTTTTGCAATTGTTGAAAGAGATTTCTAAAATCAGTCATTGCCATTCTTTGCATTTTTTGTTTATTCTGTAATCATTGCTATCATCACTAATAAGTATTCTAATAAGAAAAATATTTTCCATTGTGATGAATATATATATCAATTAGTGACAAAATAAAATTGATTGTTTTTGGTCAATTTTCACAGCTGTTTGGGGGATTTTTTTATGAGGCCAAACTCTTTCTACTTTGCTGGAGGCCTATACTGAAAGGCTGGATAAGTTAAAGCCAATAATCACTATAGCCTGACGGATGAACAAATAAAATGAAAACCTTATGAATAAATAGTATATCTCGTAAGATACTGTGTGATCCAAAAATAGTATTATTTAATACATTTTTTAAGTTTTCATTACATTTTAGGCATGAAATCCACGCTAAATCCACCCTTCTGATGGGATCAGTTTAATCCAGGTTTTTTGGATCAAAGTGATCCAGATCCTACAAAAACGATCTGAAAAACTCAAACTAAAGGTTTGATCCGGATCAAAACCAAGATTAGATTACGTGATCTAATCCGATTAGGTAATCCGTTTTTTTCTTTTGATAAACCCATTTTTAAGATTTGATCCAATCCCTTATCCAAAATCCTAGTGGATTACTTTTGAAAAACCAGGCCCTGGGCCCGGTTTTTCAAAAGGTTTAATCTGGATCAAATTGATCTGGATTTAGTAATCCTGTTTTTGCGATCCATGATCACGTAATCCAGCTTACTTTTTGAGCCAGTTTTTCAAAGCAAAATCGGATTGGATCAATCTGATCCGGATAGGAACTTTTCAGGATCACTAAATCTGGATTACCAGTGCTCAATCACAATGTAGATAAAGATAGGCCTGTGTAAAGAGCAACAAGTAGAATAGCCAGTGTGGGGTAGATATAACTTTATTTTTATTTAAAATGAAAACTAAGAAAATTTAATAAATAATAAAATAATAATAATAAATAATAAAAACAAGAAAACCCCCACCCCATCCTCTTCCAGCAGTCCGCTCATCTGAGACCTACAACACAAACACTGTACAATGAGGATATTTATAATAAGTTTCAAATATAGATGTAAAAAAAAAAAAGACTTAATGTCAAAAACTCCACAATAATTTCAGACTTCCTCATCTGATGTGGAGAGAGCAGCTTGTCTGAGCGTAGCCTTTAGGAGGCGGATCTGAAGTCTGGCCTTGGTTTGCTGCAGTTTGGTCAGAGTCAGTTGTTCCCCCGCCAGACGAAGCTGTGCTTCTGCCCTTTCAGTCTCTTTTTGCAATTGTTGAAAGAGATTTCTAAAATCAGTCATTGCCATTCTTTGCACTTTTTTTTTGGTTA